AAGGAAAGCAGGTTGCCACCTGGGTCTGTGGAGACATTATTGGATGCATTGTATTTAAATTTTGTTTTCATGGAAAATTTATAGCCACCCCCTTCTACTCTAATGTATGAATAATTAGAAGCAATTACAAGGAAATTTAGCAAATTACTAAGCCATCTAGGAGTAAAAATTAGTGTTTATGGTGTTTTTCCTTTGCTGTCTGGCAATCCAAAGTGATATATGATGTGCATGCAGACACCAGGCACAGATATCATTCTATGCACCTAGCAGTTTTCCAGTAAGATCATAAAAATCAATGCATGGCAGCAGAGTCTTGTGACATTAAAGGGCCTGCGTAATAAATATTGGATGATGGGGGAGGGGAATGATGAATTTGAGCAGTAGAAAGTTAACTACAAAAGGTTTTATGCTGGTGTATTAGAGATAACTTTTTTAAAGGTTTTTTTTTTTTTCTATTTAAAAATGTACATTCTAATTAAAGAAGTTAAGGGGAAAAAAACAGAAAAATGAAAGAAATTTCAAAAAAGCTGCCCGGACTCTCCACCCCGAGAAGATTATTTTTCCATTTTGGCATATTGACTTTATATTTTCTATGCATGTTTGCATGTTTTATTGTGATAGTTTTTATCATACTGCACAAAAAATTTACTGTTTTGATTTTAAAATTTAATAGAGTCAATTAAACATACCCTCATGTTGCTATGGGCAAGCCACATGGATAACACATGATTATTTTACCTTCCCTATGATTGATCGTAGTTTTAGTTTGTTTCCTTTTTTTTTTTTTTTGACTGCATTGGGAGTTCATTGCTGCGCGTGGGCTTTCTCTAGTTGTGGCGAGTGGGGCCTACTATTCATTGCGGTGCGCAGGCTTCTCATTGCGGTGGCTTCTCTTGTTGCAGAGCACAGGCTTTAGGCGCATGGACTTCAGTAGTTGTGGCACGCGGTCTCTAGGGCACACAGGCTTCAGTAGTTGCAGCACGCGGGCTCAGTAGTTGTGGCTCGTGGGCTCTAGAGCACAGACTCAGTAGTTGTGGCGCACGGGCTTATGGCTCCATGGCATGTGGGATCTTCCTGGATCAGGGATTGAACCTGTGTCCCCTGCATTGGCAGGTGGATTCTTAACTACTGGACCACCAGGAAAGTCCCTTGTTCCCACTTTTAAAGCATTATAAATAATACTGCAGTGGACCTCATAGTACATACAACTTTTTTCTATATTTTAAAATTAGGATTCTAAGAAGAAGGATTCCTGGGATATAGACTTTTAGAAGTTCTCAATTCTTATTACCTAATTGCTTTCCTAAGGGCTTATGCTTATTTGCTCCTTAACCTACGATGTTGAGAATACCTGTTTTGGGGCACCAACACAAGCATTAAGTAGCACTGTGAAAGTATTTTGCTACTTTAAGAGGCAGTTTTTATTTCTTTGGTTGTAACTGAGGTTGGGTGAACTTGGAATCAGTCAGGTTCCATAGCTGGGAATAGAATTCACCTGACTGGGTTTATAGAGAAGACTTATTTCATTACATGCTTTGCAGAAGAAACAGGCCTGCGTTGGGCTCTGAGATATGACTTCGAGAGCTGCATCGCGGAGATCACAGAAAGAACTGCTTCTGCCCTGTGAAGCCACTGCAGCTGGCGGTGGAGAGGGTTGCGGGGGAGTAGTCTCTACAGGAAAACCACAGCCCACCACAGTGTTTGCCAGCGGAAATGGTAGGAGGAGCACAAAACACAGCCTTGACTCAGTTTTGCCTTCCAATTTAAATCACACCTGGAACTCTAGGTGCAAGGGAGTCCTGTAAGTGTAGATATGAGATTTCCAGCTTCAGGAAAGACCCGTGAGGAGGAGGGCAGGACGGATGTTAGGAGCTGATCTCCGTATCCCCACAATATTGTTTAGTATGTCTGGGATGTTTGTTAACCCGTTTTATTGCCTCTTAAATGAATTGTCATTTTCTAACCCTTTGTAGGCTATCTTGTAAAAGAAGCTGCTAGCAGCCAGAAAGACATGATGTCATTATTTCTAAGAAGCTTATAGTCTTGCCCTTAGTAAAACTGAAGGCCAGGAGAAAGTGAGAAAGGGCAGGAGATGGTTCCATTGGCTCCCAAACTATAGGGGTGTCCAAAGGTTGAAAGTGGATTTCTTTGCACATGTATCAATATTTAAGCAAATTAAGTAATATTTAGCCAAAGAGATAAATTTTTATCTGTATTAACAACAGCATCGTCATTTAAATATTATTATTTTCTCTTCCTGATAATACTTGGACCTTATACATTCATTAGCTTCTTAAGCAACTTGTTTCCTCATTGAATAAACTATGACCATTTAGGCTTAATCAGTAATAAATCAGACTCCATCATACCTTCAGCTTACTTCCTGGGGCTGCATAGCCCCAGAGATCACTATTCACACAGAAAGTAATTTGAATGGCACCCTGTAGAGTTGTACTTCGATGGCGATGCCGGGACCCTGTCAACTGCTCAGTTCATTAGAGGGTTGGTTCTACTTTTTCTCCTTACTATGCTTTTCAGAAAGATGCTGATACCCTGGGCAGCTACAGAGGGTTATGGGGAACTGGGCCCTTAGAAGCCTAAAATAGCCTTTGTTTTAGAGATAGTGTGAACTCAGGAGACATCACCTAGGGCCACCAATGTTACTCGCCAGAGAAATCCCTTTCTAGTCAGGCCTTTTTGTCATTTGAATTAACAGCCAAGATTGAACAATTTTGCCCATGGATAATAGGCCTTTATTTTTAGGGCTGTTCGGAAGACTGACTAAATCTAAAGAAGTAGTGGATTAATTTAAGAAAGTGGGAACAAATCTGTTGCTTTCAAAATCCTTCTCCAGAGCCTTTGATTTGGGAATTAACTCCTCACCCGTGACTTTTTCGAGTTGCACCATATTGCCCTGCATACCTAGAGGGAGAATTCTGAGCTGTGACCTCTTCTCTCCAGCGGTTCCTAAGAACCAGAATCAAGTCCCTAGAATGAACATCTTTCGTATGTTGGTGAGTTGATTTCCATCCAATGCCTGCTAAAAATAAATTGGGTGACCTCTATGGATGGACGGATGAAGGGCCGTCCCTAATAAAGCCTAATTCCTTATGGAAGGGACTTCAAATTCTGTTGTAAGGAGACAGAAGGCTACCACGTTTTTCAGTCATTATTTCCAGTTTTCCCATAGGCAAGAGTTAAGCTGTAAGGACAATCTGGGTTTGGGTAAGGGTTGGTAGTGGTAAGAGAAAGAGAGAGAGAGGGAAGTGGCGGGGGGGAAGACAAGACATGGTTAGAGAAATTTCCCTTGTGGGAAGAGGAATAACCCTCTACCTGGGCAATGCTAAGTCAGTTGATTAGTTGATTTATACCAAGAAGATATAAATACCAGGAGGAGAAAATTCCTTTTTTTTTTTTCCTAGCACTGTTGGTGGTTTTGGAATGGCTACAATCTGTAATTACCATATATTCTCTGTTTTCCAAAACAGTCTGGATTTTAAATACTTGTCTTTTTTATCTCTATAAAACGTCAAAAATATTCTGGAAATGCAAATATTTTGACAAGTGGTTAACTGAATGAATCAAGTCACTAAGTATTACAAATATGTGAATTCATTCTGTTGGTTCTGAGCATGAATTCAAGGACCTCAAATGTAAGCGCAGTGTCACTGATTAAGAGCTTCTGGGCAGCAGAGAAGTCATCAATGGACTCTGGCACTGAAAAGTCTCTTAAAATGTAAATTAATTATTCAGAGACTTGTCAAGAGATATTTGGGGTCAGAAAAGGAAAATAGTTACTGAACAAATGAAGTTCTTCTTACAAGTGTGAGTGGGGAAACATGCTACCAACTCCAGCAGCAGATGGATAGCAAAGATGAATGTAAATACTATACTAATTGTTATGTGCTTTTTGCTATATTATATATTTTTCCCTTAAATTTTCCCCTTTCAATAAGACAATTTCTTTAATATATAACTGTGATTTAATTGTTATATTTTTGTAAGCTTTTTTCACATAAATAAGTAGTGAGAAATAAATGTAAGAAATAAATATAAGTAAATAAATAAGAAATCAGAGAAACTTCTCTAGTGAGGAAGGCAGGTTAGTTATAGCAGGAATTTGGGAGCGAGCTGGACTAGGGATCAAAGCCAGTTTCTGCCACTTCTAGATGTGCAGTAAATTACTTAATCTCTTTAAGATTTTAGTCTCTTACTTTTAAAATGGAGGAAATAAACATGTCCTAAGTTTATTGTGCTTAGGATTAAATGGTTTTAAAGTGTTTGACCCAGAGTAAGTGTTCAGTAAATGATAGCTGCTATGAAAAATACTAATAATGAAATGTGAACAAAAGTCTCTGAGAGTCGGTACGTTTACCATTTCCCTCCCTCCCTCCCGTTTGGCTAGCTGTGCTCTAGATCAGCAGTCCCCAACCTTTTTGGCACCAGGGACTGGTTTCGTGGAAGACAACTTTTCCACGGACGAGGGGATGGTTCAGGTGGTAATGCGAGTGATGGGGGGCGGCAGAGGAAGCTTCGGTCGCTCGCTGGCCCACCACTCACCTCCTGCTGTGCGGCCTGGTTCCTAACAGGCTTCGGACCGGGGGTTGGGGAACCCCTGCTCTAGATGGTGCAGGATCTGTTACCCTGAGCCCCTGAGTGAGGCCACTGTGGAGGGGACCCCCCATGCTGATGAGGGGTGAACGTGTGGGATGAGTGAGAAACACACTTTTGCTTTAAGCCACTTTGCTTTAAGCCATGCGGTTGTTTGTTACTGTAGCCTAAGCAACCTCTCCTGACTGATGCAGGAAGGAACCCAGAGGCTTCCACTGCTAGCCTGTCTACAACCCAGGGAGAGACAGATGATGAGGACAGCACACTGGACCAGGGGCAATAGACAGAGTGGCTGTGACTGGAGGGAGGCCATGGGCATTTCAGCCGTGAGCAGTAGAGTACGTGTGGAACCTCGTATCCTAAAGACATTGAAACAAGGAAAATACTACTCACTGGAGATGATACTGACTTTACTGGCTTGGTTCCAGGAAAGTCTCAAGGGAGGTTAAAGGGGTCTAGAGACCTCCCACATGTTTTAATAGCCACCATCTCTTTTACCTGTCAAAACCAACAGGATGGAAAGGTCATGTTAATGTCTGCAGAGGGAGGATCACAAGTTGGGTGACTGTGGCTGTGAGGCCCCCTGCCCAGCAGTGGGATGCACCACCGTTGCCTGCTGTGTCTATGGAGAGGCGAGTGACCAGTGGAACCTGCCTCACCCCTTTACCATATCTGTCCATCAGATTCACCCAGGGGTCCTCCAGAGGGAGTCTGGTGTCTGGGTCTGGGTTCCTGGAAAAATACGTTGTCTACCTGGATGTATTTTCAAACACAGAAAGTAATTGCTCTGTATTCCCACCAGGTGGGTAGACTTCATTGCTGAACTTGAAATTGACATCATTTGCAAACAAAAAGGCATGAATTTATGGGAAAGCTTCTTCAGGCCCTGTTTTGTCTCTTTCTAGGCTCCTACATTGTCTGTAAAGAAGAAAAATGCCAGCATCCCAAGGTGTTCTGCCTCTGATAGAATACAGTGTCCTCCTTAGTCCCACCAGCTGAGTCAGTTGCCTCCTCCTGCAACATAGACCTTTGTAGCTGGAAACCCTGGGGTGCTGGCATTTCACCCACATCCAAGAAGTAGATGAATAATAAACAACCTTCCATACACTGAATTACCAGTCTCCTGGTCGAACCCTGGACAGAACACCATCATCTAAATAGTTAATATTCTGATCCATTGTTTCCCCAGTTATGTTCCATAGAACCCAAGTTCTAGAAGATATGAATAGGTACCCTGCTACTAAGGGGTTTCAAGGTCAAAGCCTTTTGGAGTATGTTATATTCATTCCCCTTTAGTGGGCTCAACTGCTTGTTAGCATATTAAAGGCTCTACCAGCTCCTCAAATAAAAAGAATCTCTTTGACTCAAATAGATGTAATTAGGTTGGAACGTTTTTTCTCAAATTTGTTTGAATTTGACCACGAACCCTATTTAGTACAACAAAATGATTAACATCCTGAGAAACAATGAACCTTGACACACTGACTTAAGAGTTACTGCCCTAATTTATTCCTCATGACTTGGGGCAACACAACCTCTGGTCTCGTTCAAAGACATAAATTTGTGAGGCTAGAGATGAAATTCATGGACCATGTTCAGTCCAGCCGGGCTGTTTACATGAAGTCCCCCAAGGAGTCAGCCCTTTCCAGAATAGGCAAAGATGTTTGTGAATTTCCAGGGTTCATTGGGCATTACCAACTGCTGCTTCAACATCTAAAAAAATATTTCACTCTGTATGTTCCAGTAACTGATCATCTCAAGATCAGTAAGGAATTCACCTGATCAGTCCCAACCAAGTGTATTAGTCCCAGCAAGGCTTCCTGGTGTTCAAATACACTTGTGGTAGACAGAAGAATGCTCTCCCTACCCCCCTCTGCCATGATGTCCACATTCTAATCCCTGGAACCTATGAATATGTTACCTTACATGGCAAAAGGGACTTTGCTGATGTGTTTAAGAATCTTGAGATGGGGGGCTTCCCTGGTGGTGCAGTGGTTAAGAATCCACCTACCAATGCAGGAGACAGGGGTTCGAACCCTGGTCCGGGAAGATCCTACATGGCGCGGAGCAACTAAGCCCGTGCACCACAACTACTGAAGCCCGTGCTCCACAACTACTGAAGCCTGCGCGCCTAGAGCCCATGCTCTGCAACAAGAGAAGCCACCGCAATGAGAAGCTGTCGCACCACAACAAAGAGTAGCCCCTGCTCGCAGCAACTAGAGAAAGCCTGCGCACAGCAACGAAGACCCAGCACAGCCAAAAGAATCAATAAATAAAATAAATCTAAAAAAATTTTTAAAAAAGAAGAATCTTGAGATGGGGAGATGTCCTGGGTGTGCCCATTGTAATCATAAGGGTCCTTATAAGAGGGAGACTAGAGGGTCAAAGATAGAAAAAGGAGATGTAACAAGGGAAGCAGAAGTTGGGGTGATACATTTTGAAGAAAGAGGAAGGGGCCATTAGCCAAGATGTGCCGGCAGCCTCTAGAAATTTGAAAAGACAAGAAAAAAATCCTTCCCTAAAGCTTCCAAAAGGAATACAACCCTGCCTAAGCCTTGATTTTAGTTTGATAAGACTCATTTTGGACTTCTGACCCACAGAACCATAAATTTGTATTGTTTGAAGCTACTAAGTTTGTGGTAATTTGTTACAGCAACAATAGGAAACTAATACAATACCTTGATCCTGTACTATCTCAAACTGGCCCAGACCCACATAATCAAACCTAGAGCACCCACTCTAAAAGGAGATTATTTTGAACTAAGAAGAGCCATGCCCTAACATCACACCCTTTCTTTCTAACTCCTGGAAGCTGGAGGCCCTACGAGAGGCATTATACCATAGGGGCGTAAGAGTTATCGGTTGCTGTCATGGCTGCCTCCAAGCATAGAGGGACTGCCTCAAAGGGCATGCTCAGACCCCCAGAAGCAAGGGCAGTTGAGAGACTAAGGAGCACAGGTCCAGAACAGGAACTGTGTGCAGAACAGAGACCGTTGGACACCGTCTTTTCACAAGTGTGATATTATCTTCTGCTGTACACCATGTAGCCAGTACCCTGAACAATTCCTGCATCCTGGAAAGTAGAGCACATGTCAAGAGGTTGTTCCATTTCTGGAAGTCACATGACCAAAGGAAGTTCTGGCCACGCATCTTGGACACAACAAACAGAAACAATAAGCAAGAGCATATACAGAGAAAGGCTATCTACACATATGGCACCTGAGATCTAGGACCACTCAGAGGTAGCCCTTGGAGGCCCAGCATGTTGGGATGCCTTGTCCTTTAGAATCTGGCACTCTATAGATAACCTCATGAAAATGATCATTTCCATGCCCTGCACAGGATCTCCATCTGCATCAGCTATACTCTTTTTAAAAAAAGATCTTCTACCTTCGTGGATTCCCAAGTCACTTCTTGTGTTCTTCCTGTTTGTTTGTTTGGGGTGGGAGGAGTGGAGCACATTGTTCACTTTTTCATTTCATCCCTTGGTGGGCATCCTGATTTTAGAAGATGCTTTCAAAGACTTTCATCATAATGCTTGCCCTAGCCACCCTCTTCTTCCCACAGATTATGGCCAGATGGAGATTATCAGCCAGGTCCCAGAGTCACAGCTTTCACTCAGAAGAATGGGTGTGGTAACCCATCTCTCCCCTCACAGGGGAACCTATGGTTTTAGAGTCCTCTTCTAGGTAGATCTGAGGACGCCCAAACCCTGGCGCACCAGAACCCGGGTCTCAGCAGATGAATGTGGTATTGGATGAACAGAGAGAATCAACCAGTTGTTAGCAATTTCTTAAACATTTTTGCTCATTTGATCACATCTAATTCAGGTTCTCTGGCTGAGAATCCAGACTCTTCCTCCCTGAGGCCTCCAGGATTGCCAAGGAGAGATTCACAGGAGGCTGCTCCAGGCACCTGGATTCCAGCCGGTGAGTTCTCTAGCCCTTGCTCCTTCCCTGCCCTGGGTCTCCTTCCATTTGACCTCCTGGGCCTAAGTTTCACTTTCTGTTTAACCCACTCTTGGACCTTGATTCTCTTGAATACGCAGCTTTTGGTTTTTTGCTCATCAACTGACAAGGGGAGAAACACTTACTTTTCCCCATTCCTGGGCTCCCACGAAACTGGGCAGAGATAGTCTCTGGCCCCAACTGCCAGGGTACGGAGATAAGACAGGGATGACAATTAAGGGATTCGTGGTATTAGGAAAATCATTGAAACTGGAGACCTAACTGGGTTCTATGGTCTGAATATGTGTCCCCCTGCCAAATTCATATGTTGAAATCCTAATCTCTAAGGTTGTGGTATTAGGAAGTGAGGCCTTCGGGAGGTGATCAGTTTATGAGGGCAGAACCTTCATGAATGGGATTAGTGCTCCCATGAAAGAGGCTCCAGAGACATCTCTTGCCCTCTTCCACCATGTGAGGACACAGCAGGAAGTTGGCAGTCTGCAACCCAGAGGAGGACCCTCACCTGACCGTGCTGGCACCCTGATCTTGGATTTCCGTTCTCCAGAACAGTAGATCTCTGTTGTTTCTAAGCTACCCAGTCAGTGGTATTTTATCATAACAGCCCAAACAGGCTAAGACACTGGGTGAGAAGGAGAAAAAAGCTAGAAATGTGGTTTCACTGCATAAAAGACAATAACAATTGAAGCATTCGTGAAAATGTTTATCAACTATATTTAATAGCGTAAAATGATTATGTATATTGGTAAATATGTATTATATTAACATATTGTCACTTTTGATTTCCCCAGTTAACCCTCTAGGAGTTTACTCGGCCTTCGTAATGTATTGCTCACGTAGTGTTGTCATATTTTTCCAACCTAGAAAATTAGCGAATATATTCCTCAGCCTTTTGAGCTATCAGTTCTATGGCTTGACATTGTGCCTGGAGATGCAGGGCAGAGGTAGTTTGGTGGTTTCTCAACCCAAGGCTGAGTAAACAGATGTCCCGGAGTTGATCTTCCCCAGAATAATTGCATACAATGAGCACAAATGTTTAATTAATCAGGAATCTTGTGCTTATTATCTTTTCACTGGGTTTCCAGTGATAATGACCCAGAGGAAAATTCTTTTCCTTTGTCTGAATGATATTTTATTTAAAGGTTTTCATTTCATCATCTGATTTCCTCCCCTTTTCTAGTGAGGGAGACAGAAAGACACTGAAGGAATGAATACGTGTGCCATGGACGAAAGGCCAGGCACACCCAAGCTCAGGCCTGCGGAGCGGCCGCAATGCGGCTAGGTGGAGGGTATTCTCACTGCTCGAGTCAATCTCAAAACCATGCTGAAGTCAGAATAATTTAATATTTTATGTATTCAGTTGATATAAACTTCCTTCCCCCAAATCAAAGTTGGGAGGAAGAAAAGGGAGTTAAGGAAAGGTTTGACACACAAGAAAATGGAAAGATAGTTGTGTATGAAATGAGGTTTGAGTTTTCAGGACTAAACGTTTGCAGTCCAGGCTGGCTCACTAATGAAGGACCTGCTCCCCTAACCTGGTGCACAGCACAAAACATTAATCAGGACATTGTTTGCATTAAAGGGCTGAGTTTTCCGGTGGGTAATCACCAGGGAAACCCAGTCGAGGGCGAACAAGGATGGCGGCCCTGATTAATTAAACATCTGCACCGGGGCTAAAAGCGAAACTTACCCTGTTGGTTGTACAAGAGCTATTGCTATTAATGCCACCCGTGGAACTGGGAAATGTTGTTTGCTAAAATCCACTCCATACGGAAAGGTCGGTGTTCAGGACATATCAGGTTACGTTTCTTCTGTGTTATTTTGGCTTCTTCCTGTGCCACTAGGTGGAAGGGATTCGGGGCAGGGCGATGGTGTACATAGCTTATCTCTTCAAGGAGAAAGCAGCACTTGAGCTAGCCCTGAAGCACAGGTCAAAGTTGGAAATGTGGAGATTTGGGGGAAGGTACCTCTGGGAAGGGCATTCCAGGGTGGGGGACTAGCGTGAGCAAAGGCAGGATGTCTGGAATTATATAGAGTGTGTCTTGATAACTACAAGGTCTGGTCTGATTAGAGCCCAGGGGCCATAAAGGTCAGTGGGAATCAGCGTCGCAAAATGAGGCCAAATGGCAGCCTGAGGAGTTTGAGGTTCATTCTGAAAGTCATGGGAGCTATTGGAAGTTCCTTGGGTGGGGGCTGGCATGACCAGAATAGTGTTTCCAGGAGATGATCTAGAGTAGTGGGGAGGGGAGGATGGATGACTGGGTAGGAAAGAGACCAACAGGGGAGGGAGCTGTTGGGATTGTACCAAATTACAGATCCAGTTCCGAAGATAAGGGGTGTCAGGGATACAGCCTAAGGCAAGCCAGATACCAGACACCGGTATTTGGCGCACTCTTAGACTAAAAATTATTTGTTATTTACCTGAAATCCACATCCAACCTGGTGTCCTGTATTTTTTCCCAGCTTTATTGAGATATAATTGACACATAACCTTGTATAATTTTAAGGTGTATGACCGTTGATTTGACACATTTATAACAAAATGATTTTACCACCATAGTATTAGCTTCCACCTCCATCTGGTCACATAGTTATCATTGCTTTTTTGTAATGAGAACACTTAAGGTCCACTCTCAGCACCATTCAAGTATATGATACAGTATATTTTATTATCTATAATCATCATGCTGTACATTAGATCCCCCAATTTGTTAATCTTATAACTGGAAGTTTATACCTTTGGACCAATATCTCCCCATTCCTCCCACTCCCCCGGCCCCTGGTGATCCTCATCCCATATATTTATTTGTTAAATCCAGTGGTCCCAGCCGCTGTCAGTGACGTGGTGTAGCAGCTCTGAGAATACACCTCTCAGATCTGCAATTGCAAGGAGTCACTAATTGGGGGAATGCTCGGCTACCGCACTCTGAAGCTGCTGCATTTGTGCCGAAGCCATGCTTCCCATGGTCTGCTCCCGGCTAATGACTCAGCATGCCAGGGATACCAAAACACCAGATTCCTCTGATGGGTGACTTTGGCTCCAGGACCTCCTAAAGGCCTTGCTGAACTCATGTTAGTACTTCACTGCAGTCCAAGATGTTTGCACCCAACCTTCCTTCCATCTCCCTCTCATTTCAAGGGGTCAGACCCCTCCCTGGTCAACTCTCCCAGCCCCTTCTGGCTCCTTCCACATTTTCTCTCATAGGTCTTTGCTCTAGTAAAGCTTTGCACATCTAATCCCATCCTGACATCTGCTCCTTGTAGGGTATACCTGTCTTGGTATTAGTCTTGGACTAATGTGCCTGGTGTCCAAACAGAAGCTGTCAGGAGCTGGCTAGGAAAAGTTCAGGGTTCGTAGTTGTGGAACAGGAACCAGTGAAGGTTGTAAGGCAGTAGGTGGCAAAGGAGAGGAGAGAGAGGATTTGAAGGGGGCAAAACTTTCCGGTTTGGGTTAGTTTTACTTAGTCCTTAATGAAGACTGCACATCAGAAATCATGCAGGTTGCATTTTATAATGCCCGTATTCATGCCCACAGATTCTGTTTTTGATCTTAGGTCCTGTTCAGGCACCTGTGATGCTGATGCTCAGTCCTGGTTGAAGAATCTTGTTTTAAAGGACCTGGATCAGGGGTGATAAATAGATTCTGCTTCCAAGAGAACTCTGGTGAATTGGTAGTGACCTTGGAGGGGTGTGCTATGAGGGGCTGTGCAGTCACGTCTGGGCTCAGAGGAAAGAGCACTGGGACTGATGAGTGTGGTCTGTTACGGTTGAGAGAGTTGGGGTGGCAGGATGAGTGCTATGCCTTTGTCAGCCCTGCCCACACTGGTGGGCTCTTACAGGCGACATCCTGTGCCTGAAAGGAGGCTATTGGGGTTGTCTGGGAAAGAAGCAAGAGGGCCTGAAATAGAGTTGAGGCAGCCTGGGTTGGAGAGGAAAATATAGGAAGGTTAGTACAAAATTCATGAAAGTAGAATGAGAAAGACTTGGGAAGCAAGTTGGTGCACAAGGTAAAGGAGAGGGAAGAATCAGGCAAGATTCTGAGGTTTTAGGGACTGGATAGTGTGTGTGTGTTTGTGTGTGTGTGTGTGTGTGTGTGTGTGTGTGTGTGTGTGTGTGTGTCAGGCAGTAAGATCCTTGACAGCTGTGGCTGGTCATTTGAGTTACTCTCTGGAAGCCTCGCAGTAGCAGTGCTGGTAGTACCGTCATTGTCATCAGCATGACTTTGTAAAGCCATTGTACTGTGTGTGCTTTTATATGGATGGAATATTTGGATAAATAGACCCATTCAATCCAATTCAATTTATTCAATTGCATTCATCCAAATGCACGGATTCTTATTAAGGTATATAAATTTTTTAAAAACGTACATATATCTAGAGTAATTTCATCTGTTCTGAAGTCACTTCAGAAAAACCGAGTTTAGAGTCCACTGTAGACATGTATTATTCAAGTTCTCCTTACTGGAAATGGCATGTATTTTGAAAGTGAGCCTAGATTAAGAATATGAAAAACACTTGATATTCAAGAGCAGCAGTTTGCATGGTTAAGGGCAAAAGAGCAACTGTCTGGCCCTGCCTCACGCTGGGAGACCCCACGCTTGGTCAGGCATGCGCCCACAGGGAGGGGAGAGGGTGACAGAGGCTCTGGGTTCGTTACCACAGAATTCAGAAGACTGACTCACTTCCCTTCCTGAGATGCTGGCCGTGGTCTGTGGTGGTGGCTCACCGCACTGGCCAGGCCCTCGCCTTTCCTGTTCCATGTGATCTCGTCCCCAGGTGCCAACTCCTGGCTTTCCATCTTGGGGACGCATACATTTTTTTCAAGAGGGTGGAGGGAAAATCAACATGAAGATGAATGGCCTTCAATGCAGGGAAGGAATGAAAATACTGGAAACTCCTGCCCATGATTCAACTTTCAGGGGCGCAAGAGTGCACTGGAGACAAGGACAGAAGCAAGTCTAGTTTTGAGGCCAGAACCTTGAGTTGAAGAGATCATTTAGAGAACTCGTCTAATGAAACACGGCCATGAAAGTAGTTGTTGAAATCTGCCCACCTTCTCCCTCTCTCTTTCTCTCTCTATTTTTTTTATGGTGGTAGGGGCTTAGCTTAAAAATGAATTTTGAATTTAAGAGAATTCATTTAAAAACAGGTTCTTCAGCCTGCACTTACAAAAGTAATTTCTCCCAACTGGAACACACACATACACATGTTCCACATATGCGGTCATTCCATTGTACAACATGCTCCTTCTGATTTCCACACAAAAGTAAATTACTAATCTGATTTTAAGTTGCATGGGAAGTTTCTAGTGAATAGCAAATTCAATAGTTCACACCAGAAAAACTTTTACAAAGGTCTAGGACGAATCTAATAATAGGTATCAGGTTGTACATACACGGACTGGCATACCCACACTTCACTGTATGTGT